GCTGCGGAGGAGCAGCCATGCAGAGCCTGCCTGGCCCTCCCTGCCAGGAAGAACAGCTGCGTGATCTTGGCCACCAAAACCTGGCACTCAGGTGTGCTTTTCCCCTCCCTGCTCCAAATTCCCTCCCCGCCTTTGGGGTGGGGGAATGTGCTTTGGACTGTCACACTTAGAGGGGTAAATGGCTCTGGAAGCCTTTCGTAAGGGAAGGGCAGAGTAAAAATGCTCCAGATGAATGCCAGTAAACTTGCTGTGATAAAACACATGGTCATATTAAGATCCACTTGTGTTGTTTCCTAACCACTGATGCATGAAGCCGGCGAAACATCCCACAAAAGGGGCCTTAACGCAATCGCAGAGGCAAGCATTCCAGGACGGCTGTTCCCCCTGCGGCAGCCTCCTGCTGCATGAGAGCATCAAGAACACGGAGGTGGGAAAAGATGGCAACGCACCAAAAGTAGGCAGACCGGCACATGCTCCCAATTTCTGGTATTCAGTTTAGGCCTTCTCTTTCCTAGTTAAACCAGTGCGTGGAAGCAGCGGGAGCCAAGGCAGAGGAAAACAGGAGCGCCACAGAGGAATGGGGCGGGGGGGGGGAATCCTCACATCTCCAGCCAGGGGCCCAGTGCAGAAGCTGTGGGTGTTTAGGTGTGCTGACAACCACAGGAGCAGTCAAGCAGCTCTCTGGCCCCTCTGCATGGCTGGCCTAGGCTTGGGTTGGCCTGTTCTATTCCCTTCCCTTTTTTAGCAGAGGGCAGGCTGCACACTGACCGCCACAAGATCCTATTGTTGGGAAAATTCAGATAGATCCTGGCAGAAAAGGGTTGCTTATGTGCCCTTGTGTCATAAAATGCCTGCCCGCCTTTCTCGGGAAGCACCCCAAAATTCCAAGCATTTGCTCTTGCTTTGAGAAGTGGGACCTGATGGCTTCCCCAAGAAGCAGCCAGGGCTCTTGCTTTGCTGAGCAGTAAGAACTGACGAGGCAGCCAGGCTGACAGCATTGCAGCCCCCCTCACTTGCATGCCAAGACCCACAGTGATCCCTGCGCCTCAGCGATCTTTATGAGGATCTCCTGCAGTCCAGTGCCTTTGTACTGAGCCCCCTCTGCAGACCCCTCGCCTCCTTCTGACTGTGTCCACCACACTTCTGTCATCAACTGCCCAGCTGCTGGGCCCGTGAGACTCAGAATCTATAAAGCACTCTGTGTATGCTCTAAAAGCATGCAGTTGGCATGAGAACCACTTCCCGGGCGCAGGCTGCGTGAGTCACTGCAGGGGGCCTGGGTGATCGTCAGCAAAACTGCCGCGGTCCAAGGCGAAAGGGGCTTTCCTGACTGACCCTGGTGATCCTCGTGGCGGCTGCCACCGCGGCCTCCAGGCACTACCCAGCAGGGTTGGAGAAACCACCGCGTGCGTTGTTGCCCAGGACGGCAAAGAAAGGGCCACGGGGCGTGTGGCACGTCCAGCCCCATGCTGGGCTAGCAGCAGAGATGAGTTCCCTCCCCTGCGTTTCCCCCGCACGAGCCAGCACCGCACTCGGCTCGCCTAGTTCTGCCCCCGCCAGCAGCTTCCCCGGCTTGCAAGATCCCACGGTGTGCTTTCCCTGTGCCGGCCGTGACAAGAGCAGCTTCTGATAAGGGCCTCACAGGCCGCAACAAGAGGCGGGCCGGGCGAGGGCGAGGGCGAGGATGCTTTGCACAGGCCGTCCCTGCTCAGATGGTTTCCTCGTTAGTCGCAGTGTGGGGGGGGGGGGCCCCCCCCCCCCCCGCAGCCTCCTTCATAGCCTCCCCTGCTCTGTTCAGGAACAAGCCCTGAACAAACACTTTTCTGGCATAGCTGCTGCACCGGATGCAAATGGGTCCCATTTCTCATTTTCTTCAAGACTCACTCCAGGTCATCCGTCTTCTCTTCGCTCCTCTGCTTTTTGGGGTCATGCCTGGCTCATGAATCACCCCAGCAAAACAGAAGGCGAGCAAAACAGACTCCCTGCAGCCAGCCAAGTGGTTAAACAAACACACCTATTCCCAACAGCTAAGGACCCATCCATCCATTGAAGAAACTGCTTCCAAGCTGTCCATGAAAAAGAACGAACAGAAACTCCCAAGGGACGTGAGGGAGGCATTTTGGCACTGACCAGAGGATTCGGTCTCTCCACTATCTCATTTGAAATCCCTTACTGGTCTCACTTCAGATCCAATCCTATTCAACAAGTGTGTGCCCTCAGAAAATGCACCAAAATGTACACTTTTACCAATCAACAGCAAGAGAAGCCACCTACAGCCTGAAATGGGAACAAGGGGGCTCAGAGAAGCTGAGCAAGCCGATCAGTGGCCACAGAGGCTGGGAATACCGGGAAACAGAGCGGAAAACATCTGGAGGGCCCCATGCTGGGGAAAGCAAAATGAGATGAACAAACAGTCTGAGTTGGTATTCGCAAAGGCAGTTCCCATGATTCTGGTCCACCACTCACTCTCGGCCACCAGCGCTACTTGTCCCACCAAAAAAATTAGGTGCTCTTCACAGGCCTCTCGCCATCGGGTCACATGTCGGAAACCAAAGCCCAGGCAGCCTTTCCCAAAGCAAACAGCCACGAGGTCAAAGTCACCTTCAAGAGCAGCCCCCGATGCCCCTTTTTCCTCCTGACCCTCTGAGTCATCCCCAGCTGAGTGGTTCCTATGACCAGGAAGCCTCAGGGTCAAGGATCAGCCACAGGGCCCTTCTCAATGGGACACTCTCTGAGTTGCCCCGTTTCTTCTCCACTGCTTGCTCACCCGCCTCTCACTCTGGGAGACAAGGAAGTCATGCCATGGAGAAGACGGAGCAGCAATTATGGTGGGGGGTGGGCTCCTGCCATGAGCCTTGCCCATCCGAGGGCACCCAGCACCCCAGAGCTGGCACTGACCAGCTGCCCCCCAGCTAGGCTGTTGCAATTTCCCTCAAAGAATATAATCACAAAAGGCTGGCCGAAAGTGGGGGCAGAAGGTGCCACAGAGACAATGAGGAGAACCTCAAAAGGAGACCCACAGTGACCATCTGGCCATTCAGCAGCTGTTTCCAGTAGCTGGATCACATGTGGCAGAACACCTCCCCCCAAGGGCCGAGCTCCAGGTGTTTGGGTGAGCAAAGCTTTGGTAAATATACAGAAATATTTGCCTTGGATCCTCAGCATCAGAAGAATCCAAGCAGCTGCAATTCTTCTATGCCACAGCTTCAGAACAGGGAGCTGGACAAGCCATTTGGATGCAGGGGATGGAGGAAAACGTGCTCTGAGCTCCCCAGGCATGGCAGTATGACACGGATTCCCGGGACTTGGGAACCCCGAACCCAGCACCTTTCCTTGTAGATCAGAGGTGGCAATGTGCAGACCACAAACATTTAAAATAGGTTTTTCCAAATGTCTGCCATGGATGTGGAGGGTCAAACTTAGTTTACAGTCAAGGTAACTTTGCCCCTTTAGGTGCCCTTCAACTGTTACACACGCCATATAAACATTATTAATTTTGTGTTATTTTAAGTGCCTACAGAGGGGGCAAGGTCCAGGGGACAGAAATGCCCCGGGTCTCCCCCAGTTGCCATTCCTGCTGTGGGAGTTAAAAGACTGTCCCGCAGGCAGAAGCAGGTGAAGAGGGCAATCGCTTTCTGAGCCACCTTTTCGGCTTTGCTACTGGGCCCTGATGGAAGCAAAGGCCTGATGAGTAAACAGCTGAAGTTGTTTTGGTCGGCAAGTCTAGACCCGCCAGGCTGTACGCCAAGTTTCAGTGGAAAAAGGAAAACTCGCACAGAGCAGCAATTGCATAAGGGCTCTGGAAGGCACCCAAAGCTGCTGCTCCTGGTGCTGTGGTGCACTTTCTAGGATTGAGGCATCTTTCCAGACTTTGGTCTGTGGCTGAAGCTCTCACAGGCCTGCCATGCGGGGCTGCTTCTTCATGAGATCAGTACCAACCAGGTACCCAACCAAGAAACATCCTGCTTCGCCAGTCTGAGGCACTGGGCTGCCTAAAGGGAAGAACAAGGTGCCCATCCCATGTACATCGACTGACTGGACCAGAAAACCAACCTTTCACTGGGCAGGTAACAGGATGCTCTCCTGCACCACACCTGAATGCAGCCAGCCAGCTTAAGGGGTGCCGGCCAGGACACCTGGTGCAAAGCCTTGGGGGAAGCCTGTCCTCCAATGCCTTGCTGCTCCTTCCAGCTCTACTCGAGGTGATCCCCTCCATCTGCCCAAGGCAGAGCTGCTCTGGGTGTCCAAACGCGATGCACCGGTTTATCGGTGCCATGCGCCTCCCTGTTTTCCACCAAGGAGTTCAGGGAGCCTTGCGCAGTTCTCCCACCTCATCCCATCCTGTTATCTTTTAGACTTGTCTGGGAGACGCGGAGCCACCGGCCCACCGCTTCTCAATGAGTTCTGAGGCTGAATGTGGCTTCCATGTTACGCCGGCACCGCAGCTGGCAGGCCAGAGCTGGATGGAAGCATCGCAGCCCAAACTCCACTGTGGACCCAGAGTATGGCCCAGGAGGAAGGCTCCCTCACATGCACACACGCAAACACATGTGCCTTTGTTTTCAACCTGTAATAGAAGAATTAGTGACCTTTTCACATTTATGGGTAGGAAAAACCCATAAGAGGAATGGTTTCCTCACACCGAAGGCATGTCTGTCCCACAAACTTGCATTTTGTTGTTGTCTGTTTGAACGCTTTAGCTGTACTGCCATGCCCCAAAGAATCCTGGGAATTCCCTCTGAGAGATGTCCCCCTTCTCCACGGGACTACGGTTCTCAGGGATTCCGGGGCAACAGGCTGGTTTATTAAAACCCTGAGAAGTATGGATATGGCCAGTGGCTGTTCTCAGAGAAGCGTCCTGTGGATATCGTCTAACAGGAATGCCTCGATTCACACCTGGGCTAAAGACCGACGCAGCACAAAGACACCACCTGCAGAAGGAAGGTGCATGCACAACTTCAGCCACATGCCATCGGGAGGTGCGGAAAAGGGGTACTCACTCTGTGGGCCGGACCAAGGGGATTGCGCCCAGCCGCAAAATCATTGGGCCTTTGGGATTGCGGATCTTCTTAACGGCCGAGGTCTTCAGGAGAGCAAACCTTTTAATTAGATTGAACCCTGCAAGGAAAGCGAGCACTGAAGTCAGCCCTCAGGCAAGTCCTGCATGAACAGGTGTGGCCTCCCAGAGCAGCCACCTCTATGTCTACTAAGTTGCTGAGTTCTTGTTTTCGCATTACATGGACTGTTAGCATTTATCACCACTACCAGCAGCACCGCCATCATAACCACCATCATCTTATTATTTCAGCAGCATGACCACCCCCACATTATATTTACATCCCTTGTTCTTTTCTCTTGCAAGGAACCCAAGGCAGCTGACAAAGTTCCCCCGCTCTCCACTTCATCCTAGCCACCGCCCTGTGAGGTAGGATAGGCTGAGAGCGGATGTCTGGCCCAAAGGTACACAGTGAGCTTCAAGGCTGAGCGGAACTAGAACCCAGAACTCCTGGGCGCCAGACTAGCACTCGAGCGGCACTCCATGGCTGGACTTCGCCTTGCTTGCTGTCCCCACGTTTTGCAGGACAGAGACGTGCTGACAGGCAGCAGTGACCCCTTTCATGTTAGATCCAGGGTGCTGCATCAGGCAGGAAGGGGCCGCGGCAAGTCTCCCTCTGATCCCTGTGAAGCGCTGTGGGCTGGGGCAGAAAAGAAGTGGGAAGTGGCTGGCCAGGAGACGGATCCTGAAGGACAGACAGCACTCGCTCACCTGTTATATTTACATGTTTGTCACTGCTCTGCTCCAGCCGGAGGCCTTCCTTCAGCATCTGTGGGCACTTCTCCCCTGTGAGAAGAAAGGCAGCGTTACTCAGTGCCTGGGATTTGAAGTTATTAGAAAGGTAAATATATACCTTTCTTCTTTAAAAAATGTGGAGGGGAGGCTTGTGCTTTATTTTTGCTTTACGAGGAGAACGCCACTCCAATTTGTTTTCTTCGTATCCTGCCCCATAGCCCAGGGACTCTCTCCTGGCCAGGTCCCTGTCCAGTTACCCCCCTTAGATTGCAACAGACAAAGAGAGAGAAGGATGAGCCATTTTTCCAAGCCTTCCAAGCCATCCTTGCTGAGAGGTCAAGAAATTCTTTGCTACAGTATATTGCCATTTTTTATTTTATTTTATTTTATTATTACTGCCACATAAGAGTGCATGCTGTTTTACTCACAATGAACTTGTGAACCTCCAGGGTCAAAGTCCACCAATGCCACCCTAAGGTCTACTCAGAAGCAGGCCCACTGACTTCAGTGCTAACTACTCCCAGGTAAGCATGCAAAGCCTGTGGCAACTATTCCTGGTTTGCAGCTGGTGGGAGACAAGCCACAAGAGGGTTACTAGGAAACCCATGTGAGTCCTTCCTGTGCTTTCCTAGTTTTTGCCTTCTTTTTTCAAGGCTCGATCAGGTGGGAGAACGGGCATGGGGCCCACTGCGTGTGGTCGTCAGCCATCACCCCCGTCACAGCCAGCCTGGACATACTGGCTGGGTAGTCCCACAATTCCGGAGGGCAGGGCCGGGAATGGTGGGTCGCAGGCCCTGATGCAAAGCAGGCTCATGCCTGCCCTTCTCATGAGATGCAGGTTGGGTGGGAGCAGCAGCCAAAATTCCCTGCTAGAAATCCTTGCCTCCCCCCTCACAGATCGATTGATTCTTGATTGGTCTTATTAAAGGATCTTCTAGCCTGTCCCCTACAAACGTCTCAGGACGGCTGACAATAAATGAGGAAAATAAAACTAACCCCACAGCATCTGACAGTTAATATATTAAAATCCAAAGTTAAAATCTATTATTAAAATAGTGGAAAAATAGAAAGGTTTTTCCTGACACTGAAAAGAATGGATACACACACACAAATCTTGGGAATTCTGTGTGAGAGTGTGAATGCCGATTAAGTAGGAATGACTGAGATTTCCCTTTCAGTTTGGTGTTTGATAAGTATTTACCCAAATTCAAAAAGTTCTCTGTACAAAATTGAAAGAAATATGGCACAAACTGAAATGGACAGATGCTTCAACTCAAGTGCGCAGTGCTGAGTGCTTGGTTCATAAAGATCTGAGTTCAAATCCCTGCATACTCAAACCAGGCCCCTCATCTTTAATCATTTCAGTGGGGGTGGGGGGGCAGCCACGGCATGGCCCCCTCCATGCCAGGATGGCTCTACCCGTCCATGTTGCTTATGAATTGTGCAGATGGGTAAGAATTCCATTTGTTGGCTTTTGATAAGCACTGACCACCCTTCTTGACAGTTATTTGGGAGAAGAAGCTGAGATTTAAGATTAAAATCTGGGAGAACACAGGACAGGCAGATTTGCAAACCTAGCTATTTATGCATAGATAGTAGGAATTATCCTGCTCTTTAGAGGAAAAGACTCCCAAGATCCTTCTTAGAATACAGCATGCCATAGAAATCCAGGCTTAGGGCACAGATCCCAAAGTAGGCCGGGTAAAGATTTAGCAGACTATCATCACACTTCAGCTCTGAGTAATTCTATGCAGTTTTTCACTAATCCTCTTCCGCCATTCTTGGAAGAGAGACAGGAAACTGCAACACAAAACTGACGTGGCGTTGCTTTCTTCCCTCGGTCGGCTCTCCTGATCCAAGAAGCTTGCAATTTGGGGGCGCTGGGGAAGGGATAACCTGTCCCCTCTCAGTCCCTCTCCCACAGTCTTGCTACCCCACTCTGTGCAGCCTCTTCACCACCTCCTCCCTTCCAAATGTCACAGCAGGATGAAAACTCATACATTTTAGGCCAACGGCTGGAAAGCGTGGCTGCCAGAAGTGTCTTGTCTGAGTTCACAGCAGTGCTGCTGCCAGGAAGGGGGTGCAGTGAATGCATAGCTATTATTAGAAAAGAGGATGGGAAAGGCTTGAAATGGAACCTCCAGGGCTCTTAGAGCCTTTGGGTGCAACACCCTCAATGCCCCCACTTTTGCACCAGTGCTGACTTCCGCCCCGTGACAGGGAGCCCCGTTTCTGGCTGGGCCACAGAGGCAGAGGAAGGGGGCAGCAAGTCCAGGGAACTCTCATCGGTGGGCCCTGTGGGGTCAGGGGCTCCTGGCAGGGGCCCCTCCAGCCTAGCTGTAAAACCAGTACTGCTGTAGAAGATGGGGATGCCAGAGGCAGAGAGATGCTTGCAAACCGACCAGGGCATTGGCTGCAGCTCCTATCATTCCCAGCCAGCATGGCCACTGGCTGGGGATGATGGAAGCTGGAGAGTACCTGGTGGGGCAGGGCTGCTCTAAGATCAGAAGCATTCACACACACTCCCTGACAAAGGGCCTCATCCCTGGAGCGTCGAGCGACGCGTTGCCAGCATGGAGCAGGTGCAGTCACTGTTTGCTGCCGCGTTTTGGGAAGGGCCATCTCTGCTCCTGGCAGACGGCTTCCGAGGGCCCTTCCGGACATCCAGAATGTGACATCTGCTTCTCTCCTGGCTGCCAGCCCCCTTAAAAAACACCCCAAGAGAAGCGCTGGGCTGCCGTAAGATGGCCTTGGGGAAGTCATCTGGACTGCCGCCTAGGCAGTGAAAGGGGAACATGGCGGAACGTTCTAGATCGATGTTGCTGCCACCGCCATTTGGCCTACCTTAAACTGGCCAGGGGTGGCCGTTCTTCCTGAGGCAAAACATCTGAGGCCCTTCAGGGGAAGCCATTTGGCGCATTGAATGCTTCCACAGAAAAGCAGTTTATAGGAGTGCTTTAAATAAATGATCGAGGCAGAATGAATGAGAATCAAGACTGGCCAAATGCCAAGGGGGGGGGGGCCTTGGCTCCCCACATTTCGGCATTATCTCCAGCTGTCACCTAAAGCAAGATTCACAGAGAAGCTGTGAAAAAAGTTCAGGGAAGAGCAAAAAAAGAATGCAGAAAAGGAGGAAGTGGACAGGGAGGGCCAAAGCAAAGAAAGTCCAGAGAGAGTTCCGCATGGCCCAAACCAATGGAAGACTGAAATTCCCATACAGATTCTACGCATAAGTAGGAAGCAATGGCGCCATCTCTGGTGGTGAGGGGCTTGTCCCAGAATGTTTTTGGGCCTCAGCAAAGGCTGCTCTGCATTTTTCACCACCCATGAAGGAGCAAAACAGCTTATCCTTGCTGGGTGTGGGGCATGCCCTCCTGGATTTCATCGGGGAAGAGAACGAAGGGGCCTTCTGATGGGGGGTGGGGTTTGGGGTCAGCACAGCTGGGCATCTGCCCTGGCCCATGTCTCAGCAGAGGCCCACGGCTGACCACTGGCATCCTCCTCACCCTTTGGCTTCTTCTCTTAGTGCTGCATATGGACTCCCACGCAGGCGCCAAGGAAGAACACCAGAAAGCAATGGGGTGAGCAAAGAGGAGGGTTTTTGGCGGTGCACCCACATCTGTTTGCTCACACTCCCCACCTCTCCTCTCCCAGCAGGAGCAAAAGTGGGCGACTGCAGGGTGGAGGAGATGAACCCACTGAACCTGTGTGGCTGGCGGGCCTCTCTGAAACCTGGACCCAGCACCGTTCCAGGAATGGACAGAGCTTCCAGGCTCAGTCCTGGCGAGCTGGACGGCCTTTCTGCGGCAGTCTTCCTGTCCTGTTTGCACAGGCATCTGCTATTTATTATTATCTTAATTCACTTGAGAAGTCACACATTTTGGTGCACTTTCCCCACCCCTGTAGGCATTCGTATGCATCCCCCATGAACTTTACGCTGCTGCAGCGCTTCTCTGTGCATGATTTCCCCCAGTCTGTACATTGTCGGAGGGCATTTTTCCTGAGACAAATTTTTCCTGCTCAGGAAAATGTGGATTTTGGAAGAGAACTCAGACTTGGCTTGCTGAAGGGCTTGGGCAGAATGAGCTGGGTAATTCATTTAAAACATTTGGAGGCAATTTCCCACTGATCTCTGTGCTACTTTTATGTATCACATGGCACTCCTATACTCATGTGTATTTGCTGACCACCCCTCTCAGGATTACACAGTGCGACAAAAAATATTTTCCACCTGCACTCCTGATTATTATCAACGTTCCACGAGCGGATCTGAAACTGGCCTAGAGAGAAAGCATCTTAGAAAGCGGCCAGGAGCCATTTTGTCTCTTCTGAAACAGGGCACAGTCCTCCTCACATTTAGCTGGTGAAAATAAATTCTAGAACTTTTATAACTTCTTTTCACTGTCTAAACAAACCTAGCCTTGTGCCCTTAATGTTTTATTGTGCAGTTAATTGTTGATTTCTATCCTGTTTCTCTAAATAAAAATTGCACCCCAAATGGCATATAAGAAAACAAATGCATATATCAAAAATCACATGGAAAAACAATAATAAAAAGCAGTAATAAAGGAGGATTAAAGCAATTAAAATAGGTAGTAACCAAATCTGCTCAGGAAAAAAGCAGCACCTGTTTAACAGTAGTAAAGAGGGAAGCCTGTTGGACCCTTTCCAGAAGAATGAATACTGCAGATCTGCAGAGCAACCAGTAAGCAAGTCCTCCACTCTGATCCATAGACCCATGAGGCGGCAGCACCCCTCTCTTACCCAGGTCAAATATGGGTGCACTTGTTCGAAGGTATACTGGAAGAACGACAACCCAAAATACATGCAGTGCAAGAGAGGCAAGTATGTTGCATCACGCACCAAGAACACTGCGTTACGAAGGAATCTCCCGACCCACGCAGCCCCCGCTAAAAACAGGGGCAGACAAATGCAATCCAGAAGCAATGGAGAATATTTTCTATGGTTTCTGAAGAAGCTCGCCCAAGGCCACAATGGGACACTGTAGCAGAGCCGAAAAGAACTGAAATCGCCTTTTCCAAGTGCCTTGT